TCTACAAACGTAGGTCAGGTCAAGTCTAAATCTGTTTAGCCTTCCTTTCCTTTTGCTTCTTTCTGATAGTGTTTCTTACATATCAAAAAAAAAGAAAAAAGAAAAGCTGTGACTGAGAAAAGCTCCCAGTGGTCTAGAAACTGAGACAACACTTTCAGATGTTAGTGTGAGCCTTTCTGTTTCCTTTTAAATATACCCTTAACAGACTTTGCTCCTGAAGATGTAGAAGAAAATTGTCCTGCAAGCTCACTCTAGTTTTCAGAGAGCTTTCTGGTTTGATTCTCCAATCCCCCAAATCGTATCCTTTGAAAACAGATCAGAATTCCTGAGGGTAAGAAGGGGCTTCTGTTTAAACCACAGTGAAAATTAATATAGTCGATACAGAAAATAAGTCCTGTTTTGTTTAACCAACTGCAGATCCTTTTGGGAAGACAGATGAAAGAGAGCCTCTCACCAATGCAGTCAGAAGCGATTCAGCTGTGATTGGAGGTAACTTCATTTTTAAAGATTACAATTGAAAAATAATTCTGTCAAGGCAAACATCTGAGGTTCTTTATATCTGCGGCCCATAAAATCCAGTTCAAGTTTTTTGTAATCTAATAGAGGTCTAGTATTTGCTGTATTTATTAGCACATATCTTTATCAAGCTACCTGAATAGGCACCTGCATTATGGATGAAGCCAATAGTGGTGGCATGTGAAGTTGGATATTACCCAAAAAAAGTCATTATGGATCGTTGAGAACCTGAGTCTTCTAAAATATACCCAAAGTCTGTCTGTCTGCCTGCTTGAGCAGGGGAATTGGACTAGATGACCTCCAGAGGTTCCTTTCCAACCTCAACCATTTTCTGATTCTGTGTGATTCTGTGATCTAAGACCCAGCTAACTAGTAGTTGTTTTACACACCACTCTGATGAGAGCTTCAACACAGTATTCACATATCTTGTATTTCTTGATCTCTCTTTTTGCAAGCTGGTGGTGTAGTGGAACTCACTAGGTCATACGGAAGCATTTATATACTAGGGAAAGTTGTCCTCATAGCTTCATGTATGGTTTTCATTTTGCTTTAACAACCTGGAAGGCAATTTATCTCTGTTTATTTTATAGGATGCCCTGTAGGGAGCTGCCTTTGATAATATCTAGAAGCTATAAACCAAAGTGTACAAGGCTCATGCAAGGTTTCCGGAGATAACACAGAAGAAAATACAACAGAGCAGGAATTTGTATGAGCATACAGATCTAGTTTTTTAAAAACAAACACACTGACCCAACTTTACTTCCAGAGAAAGCAGAATTTGACTGAAATTAGAGGGTCAATTACATCAATGCTTGCCGCTTTAAGTCTTACTTAAGGTGACAAAATAAAAATAAAAACTACCAGGGACAGTATGATAGAGGCAGATGATTGTGTACAGACTGAGATGAACCCACTAGCTGTTGTGCATTGATAATGTATTTTTGAGGTAACTGTTTTTTTGTTTTGGTTTTGATATTTACTCTTTCTATTCTTCCTTTTTTACCCTCTTCAGGTGTAATAGCAGTTGTGATATTCATCATCTTTTGCATCATCGCCATCATGAGCAGATTCCTCTATCAGCACAAACAAGCGCATCGAAGTAGCCAGACAAAGGAGAAGGAATACCCAGAAAACCTCGAGAGCTCCTTTAAAGCTGACATTGACTTGCAGAACACAGTGAGCGAGTGCAAACGGGAATATTTCATCTGATGGACAATGCGATTTCTTCTTACTCTTACTTCCCTACCCTTCCTTCCTTTATTCCTTTATTCCTTCCTTTTTTCTTTTTGTAAGTTTTTTTAAACATTCATTTTTTGCTAACTTCTTTTTCATTTGGAAAAGACCGCCCTGCACAGGAAACACTGACAACAATCACAGTACCTTGTTCTCCGCACAGGAACCTGGCAGTCACAGTTTGCTTCCGCAGTTCAAGAGACCTGTTGTCCCACCCTACACAAAATAAGATCCAGATGCACACCTGGTTTCTGCTGTGGGTTCCTGGATGTTTCAAAGTCTCTACATTTATTTGTGTTTTTCTCTGGAGCCATTTAATTCATCACTTTTACACTAGAGCTGGACTATGTAAAGTAGAGGTAAAGTAGCTGAACACGTAGCTCTACAGATACTGGGACAGGATAGCGGGAAAGAATGAGACCTAAATGCCTGATTAATTTTACAGGCTTATTTACAACAATCATAAAGAACTGGCCAAATTCTCGAATGATATGAATTGATATATATCTATTGATTTCAATGGTTTTACATTAATTTGTACCAGTTGAGAAGCTGGTCTGAGGTAAGGAAAAATAAAACTATCCTCATTAAGCTCCTTCCCCCAACCTCCTGTCCTTTTACTGTAACTTTTAGGCTTACCAGTACTTTTCCAACAATATATGTATCAACAATAAATGTCATTCCCATGCACCTCTTTCACCTTCATCTCATAAGGCTGGCTATGTAGACCCAACATACTCTAGCATAACTCTAGCTGAAGCATGGAAAATAGTAGCTTGAATCTCCAAGGGTTTTAGGAAGCTGCTAGGATTTAGGTGCTCTATATTTGTCTGAAATGTTAGAAATGCAACATATACCTGTTCATGCCATATGGAGGGTTGTCATGCACTGAGGTTAAACACTGTTGCTGCTGTGGCAAAGAAAAAGTACATAGACAAGAAAAAGCAAAAATAGTTTAATCTTAAACATGAGCCACACCTTCTGCCAGTTCTTCTACAAAAGGAAAAAAATCCAACTACTTAAAAAAAAAACCCAAAACTGCATGAAAGATTGATTGGTATTTCCTGTTTGTAGAAATTGAAATATCTTCTCCAAAGCTAATTAGAGAGAGGTCTGATGTCACGTCTAAAAAGGTTAATATTTAATCAACCCTGTTTACAAGGAAGAACATTAGGGAAACAAGTTAAAAAAGATCCCAAATACTCTGAATTAATCTTCTCTCCTGTTTTTCTAAGGTCTTCTGTCCTTCCCTGATTGGGAACGATACTGAAGACTCAAATCCTGCCCATTTTACCTGTGCTGCATGGTTTCAGTGTGAGGCTGAAAGAGCTTCTCTTCAGTCACAGACATCCTAAGGGTAAGAAATGGAGAAGTCCCACCAAGGGAGGTTTTTCACACCCTGCTTCTGTCTGTGTGACATACTGCTTTAGCAGGGCTTCTGAAGAATATGTAGAATTTGCTGTCAGACTTGAAGGTTTCTGACAGGAGTTGAACCAATCCAACAGATGAGAAAAAAAATAAATCTTATTTATTGCAGTATTCTTGATAAGAATTAATTCAAGACAATTAATTGTGCAGCTCAATCTCTTTCTTTGCCCCTTACACCCTTCTGCGGTCATCCTGGCATTTCCTCATGGTGATGATTTTTACATAGATTAAAATCAAAGAATCCCAGTATGAGGTAGTAACCTACAGCAAACTAGAGATGAGGTTACACATGCAACAGGTGCTATTTTTCCAGGCGATGCATTGCAAAGGTCTGTAGCTGGTTATTTTTTTGATGGGAGGAGGGGACAGACAAGGAAGAATACATAAATGACAGTTTGGATATGATGATCCTTCACTTCTTACTTTGGAAGACTTCATGAGAAGTAGTGTCTGGTGAAGAGAAAGCAATCTTGGAATGATATTGCTCTCACATGAAGAGGAATATGTGAGGCCAGTCCCACAATCAGAACTCTGACCGAGCAATTTTATAAAGCTATTTATATTGAAATTAGTATTGGTGCCATTCTTCCTCGACCATGGTCGACAACAGCCCTTTTGCTTCATGCTGGCTGTTTGCATGATACCTGATTACTTGAGAGTGTTTCTGCATGATGAGATGTGTAATGATGGACTCATTAGCTGTGCTCCCTGTACATTGCTTTATCTTTTGCGGTGAAATCCTGGCAAAGCAATTCTTTTTTCTCCTTCCTTCCTTCCTTCCTTCTTTCTTTCCCCCATATAAAGCTGCTTTGTTTGGCATAGCGGGAGGGGAGGAATAAGCAAGCGCGTGGGCTCCTCTGCCCATGTTTGAGTCATTTTATCTGAAATGGACTTTGTATGAGACATCTCTGAAGTCCTAATGTACTTAATTGGCTTTATGGAGAATGGAATAGGAAGGAGGGGAAAACCCACAGGTGTGCATTTTTCTCCAGCCAAACTAACAGATACTAATCATCCTTCTGCTTTCCTACATGTTGGGTTTCCAGGAATAACATTACTACAAAGTGCAACAATAAAGCGCAGAGCAGCTCCAGCGGTGAAGCAGTTGGAAAAGGGAGACAGAGCAATGAAACAGAGTCCTGTCATTTCTCAATTGACTGAGTTAATTTCAGCCATCTTGGGGCCTGATTCTGCAAGATGCTGAGCTTTCTTAAGGAGGGTCAAGTTCCCATCACCAAATGTAGATATTAGCGCTGCTGCAACCATTTCAGATAGAGCTCAGCAGCTCAGTCCTGGGCCAGAGAGTGGGTGTAGGCAGAATGCTGTGTGCAAGCCCGGACCCGGCAAAACAGTGTAAGTGGTTTGTTTGTCCTTTTTTTCCTTATCCTCATTTAATATAGCCCAGGCTGGTAAAACTCCTTGAAAATGTAGCTCCATTGGTGTGCATCTGTAAAAAGAAAGAACTGCACATACATAAATACATGCCTGAGTGTATAGAAACACGTGCACCTATACCTACGGAGGTAATGAGATGTAAATATCTGTATGCTACAGGCCTGGACAAATGAACACATTGTATGGACTTGCCATTTAAAAGCCTACCTTCTAAATCAGGATTTCAATATTCTTCTTATTAAAAGGTACCTAAAAGATACTATATGAAGTACCCTAATACTGAGTCCTTTTTTTTCTTTTTTTTTCTCTTTCTTTTTTGTTATAATGCTTTCTTTAGTGAGGGCATCATCTGATTTACTTCAGTACCAGTTAAAGGGAAATATTTTTTTTTTTTTTTAAAAAAAAGGGAAGAAATGCAATTTTGCAGAAATCTACCAGCATTAAAATTGCTTTCATATTCCACAGTTCAAATTAGACCTTTTTTCCTATCTATTACAAACCATTTCTGCCATTCTTGTTAAAATTGCTGTTTAAATGTGAGGGTCTTTCCTTTTTTCTTTTAGCTATCATTCTAGATAACATTTTTCAGTAAACGTGGGAGATGATACTTTTCATATATAAAATTACAGGATTTGTTTGACTAACCTGTGAATAACCCAGTCTAGTGGGAGGTGTCCCCCACTGCCCATGGCAGGGGGGTTGGAACTAGATGATCTTTGAGGTCCTTTCCAACCCAAACCATTCTATCATTCTATGATTATTTTAATGGAAAACCTGAGAGTATCAGAGAATTGTTTGGAGGTAGTGTTTTGTTGTTTGTGTTTTCTTCCTTCTCTCAAGGCAGGTTTCATAACAAAAGTAAGGGGCTGGTAGAAGGACACGAAGTCTTTTTTTTTTCTCCTGCTAATATGGTATGGAACCTCTGAAAATTATTTTTCCTAAGCAGGCATTTTTAGGCTATGAAATTTCTAAGTCACTGAGATACGGATTTATGCACTGCAAATTCGTCTTTTCCAGAAATGCCTTGGCCAATAACAGCCATGCTTATAAAGATATTTAGTCATGCAAAGTCTGAGTTGGATGCCTGTACGGACAGTCTGAAAACCCTGGTGTCTGGCTGCAGAAAACAAATTAAGGGTGTCAGTCAGAAAACTAAATCCCACTAACTTTCAGTGAGACATAAGCTGCCACCTGAGTGCAGTGTGGGCTTTCAAAGGAATTTGGTCTCCTGAGGATGTGGATCAATGCTTAAGTGACTAAACAAGATGAGCACTTGACTCAAATTAATTTCAGTTGGATTTCTGCTTCTGCCTTGCTGTGAAATGTTTTAAAATACTACAAGACATTTAAATACCTTTGTCCCATTTCTCTTTTGGAAATAAAAACGTTGGTCCAAAGAAAGTCATGTAATTTGCAGTAAGTATTTCATCTGTCCTTACTCACTTACTAGAGACAAGACAGTGTGAATGTGTAAATTTTTAACACATGCACTTTTTTTTTCTTTTTCTTGCTGTGGCAGAGCACTTAGGGTATGTCTGCAGTGAAAACAAAGCCAAACAAAAGACAGGCTTTTAACTCACATGGATTCTCATCTGGGTGAACAGGGCTGTGAAAACAAGCCGTTTAGGGCCATAATGTTATCAGATTGTGTTCAGTCCTGAGATTCCCCCCAACATTTAAGTTAAAACTGATGGCCAAAATTCAAACATGCGATGCTTTCTCTCTGCTTTATTTTAACCTGATTGAGCCGGACTTAACCCATCGTATTTAGCAATTGTTCAGTTTTTACAGTGTTAGCCAAACCCTTATTTTAATGAGATGTTTGTCTATATTAGCATTTATCTGATCACATATTTCACATATTGGGTGAAGAGCAATCAATACATCATATAGTTTCTCTATAGTGAGGGGATATGAATCTTCTCCTAATGAAGTCAGTTATCGATTTTGCTGAGTATAAGATTGAGTACTAGACCTATGGAAGCACTTGAAGATTGCTTTTATCTGAGTCTTTTGAGTTTGTTTCATTTTGCATCTGGTTTGACAGGCTACCTGTTCTACACTTGTCATCTAGTCCTGTCCTGTGGTCAGTGAGGACAGGGCAAATGTCTCAGACATTCTTTAAGATTAAATTAATTACTCTTTAGAGGTGCATCTTTCTCTCCAGTGATTATAGAGATAGATTAGGCTCCCGACAATAGGTTAGCTACTTAGCATAATTTTCCTACGTATATGAATCTTACATTAGTCTTGCAGCTCCAGTAGACACCTCTGCACAGGTATTAAAAGAGACTTGTTTTTCATTGAGATCCCAGCTGGGATCAAGGAAGGACACCTCCTTGAATCTAAATTTACACTAGGTATCTCTGCTTGGGAAATGCATGCCTCTACTTATAGCCGAATACATGAAAATGAGGTGTCGAAGCACCCATTTGAGTTGGTGGCCCTCTGATCAGTAATCTGTGGTGCTTGGGAGAGGATAGCTCTCCTTTCAATCTGTTCTAGATCCAAGAACCATTCATGGCCTTGTGTGGGAGCTTTGGCAGATAGCATACATGTAGACAGATCTACACAGGTCTCTAAAGCTAACTCAGACCCCTAAGATACCATTCTAGCCCTGCGTGTCTGGTGCCATTTGAATTAGAGTATCTCTTCAGCTCCAGTGAGGTTGCAAGTCTCCTGTCTGTTATGTCTTGTATCTGCTAGCCCCAAGCAGATATGTCTGATAACTGTTGGCTTTTCAAATTACAGTAAGGGCCCATCCAGAACCCCACAGTTCTCGATGAGATGAATCCCTGAAAAAAATCTCATCTTCACAACAAAATCAAGCTTCCTTTCCATCAGTGTAAGCCAATCAGTTGAAGTGTGTTCTTAACCTCAGCTTAACATGAGTATTACAGGAGGCAGCATTTGACCCCTTTGTGCTCCACCATCTAGTGCCATCGTTGTTTGTTGCCATCACCTACACAAAGCTTACACTGAAGACGACCAGTTTCAAGTACTGTTCTGCACTGCCAGCTTTTCACAGACACAACGGGGGTTTATTTTTTTGTTTATTTTTATTTTTTATTTTTCAGAAAGCAACGCTATGTAAAAGGCTTGAGCAAAAGCTGAGACCTTGTGAGGTTCTCTAAGACAAGTGCTATTTCAAAGCTTTCATGCAGTTTTGTAA